CTCCTTTTACTCTAAACCCCTCCCCTCCCTCCTCTTCCTCTCTCCTTCTTTTCATTTTTAACCCTCTCTCTCCCCTCACTCCTTCTCTTTTTCCTCTTATATACTCCCTCCCCCTCCCCCCTCTCCTCTCTCTCGCAGGTCACTACAGCACGTACTGGTGGAGTTGACGGAGGAGAAAGAGAAGGTGGACGAAGTTTGTATGAGGAGACACAGACGATGGAGCCTCTCCCTCCAACTAGACAGACTCCACAAGGACACTGAGAAGGTCTTTGTACATTCACCAGACTCTACACCTGTAGCATTGCCGACCGTTGTGGTAAAACGTGCATGACAATATGGTCCACGAGACTAACGCTATATGGGCTGCATATCATTGCCAATCAGAAATGGTGACGTAACTGATGGTCAGGCACTGGTCTATACTAGTCACCCGCAAATGCCAAAAGTGTCGTAAAGGCCAGTAATGCGATCGATGCATTGCAGCATGTTGTTTGTGTACCAAGAGGGCAGTTTCAGCCTGACACAGCTTTTTATCCTTACATTGAGCAACTGTTGGATTCCTGCAACCTCTTCTTGACTTCTGTCTTCTTCTTCTTCCCTCAATATTTTCTCTCCTCTCTCTGTCCTACATCCCGACCGCAGTTTGTGACGGCGGTGGAGTTGTGGTGTACCAAGGAGGAGGGGAAGGAGTGGGTGCCGGCTGCCAACACTGTGGATGCTCAGCTCCAGCTGGACTCTGTCCAGAGCCAGTACAACCAGCTCATTGAGACCAGTGACACCCTACTGGCTGGGTATGGTACTATCCATGCAGAATGGGAGTATACACGGCCATAGCGCAGTTGTTTCCTTTTGTCTTGTGACTAGTAAGTGTAACCTGTATTGAGTGCCACCTACTGGCCAAGCAAACGTGTTTGCAAGTTGTCTTTGAGTAAAGGTCTGCCCACGGTATTTTTTGAGGAAGTGGCTAGACTGCAGAGTGTTGTGGGTTCGAATCCCCACCCAGAGCAGCTCTTCTTTCCTCAAATGAAATAATTTTCCTGGGTGTAGTTGATTTGTCAGCCTTTGCATTTGCTTTGACCTCGTTGACACATGCCATGGTTTTGTTGGTTAAACTAGTAAGTAGTACACAGTGTAACCTGTATTGAGTGACACCTACGGACCAAGCAAACGTGATTGCGCAATGCAAGTTGTCTTTGAGTAAAGGTCTGCGCACAGCACTCTTTTGAGGAAGTGGCTATTGGACTTGAGTGGTTGTTAGGGCCACAATAGTCTGATGTTAACACTAATCACATTTTTCTGATTCAAAGAACTGTTTACAGTGGGTCCAGGTTATTATCATACCCACAGTGCATCCTAATAATATGCGGGATATTCTACAATGCGGGTGTGTATACTACGGGTGTGTATACCAATGTATACTGTGACCCAGATAGCCACAATGCCGCAGTTTGTTTAGCTAAGTAACCTAGCTAAACTAGCCTAGCTGTTTACATAGCCAGGTGGAGAATGGAAACTCCTTGTAGAATGCCTAATTGCGCAATACAGACAATACGGGCAAAAACCAAAATTGCTCAATTTTTCTATGGTAGCTAATAGGCGGGGTATGACATTATCCGTATTCTATAAAACGGAGTAAAATGTATGGGAAAGCATAGGAAATGGTGTTGGATTTCAGGTTTGTAAACGGCATATTTTATTAAACGGTATTATATATTAAGTGGGACTAATTTGGTCGGATCTGCACATACAGCAGTAGAACAATTGATCTCATGTGATCAATTCCCGCAGGGGTAAGACCATTGCCATGGAAACTGAGCAGCTGGACTCTGTCATGTTTGGTTCGACCCAAGGCCCCGCCCACCCTGTCACCACGACGATATCGGGTCTGGAGTCAAAGCTATTCTATTCTCACGTATATTTTGTCACTCTTGTTTTTTCGGAGAGCATGAGTCTAGATGTGTTTCTTAATGACATCCCGCACACTAGCCGTCCTAAAAGTGGCACATTTTCACCGATATTCTCATTATGATGGCGTTAATCATCTCGATGTATGTGACAGGCAGCATATTTTTACCAGATAAGGATAGAGACCCAGTTGTACAAGGTGGATTTGTCATTAACCCTCGGCGCGCATGCGCAGCGAGGGTTACAGTAGTTGTCCCGTAAGTGTGTCAGTCTGTCTGTCTGTCTGTTACCATGTTTTCTGCCACCGCGCGCACGAAATCAGGTAAATAGCGATATGATCGGGTTCAGTGCTACACTGGGTTGATTTCAAAAAAGGCGATTTTCGTAAAACTACTGTGTTTTAAAGTTATGGTGTGAAAACCAAGTGAACAACAAGCCAATATGTAAATTGGCAAAGGCTTACCCCAACCGCGTCCGTTCATTCTGTGTGTCTTGAAGGCAGAACAAGTCACAACGAAGGGCATGTATCGACTCCCGCATGCTATTTACTACTGTAGCTAGCCCGTGTCAGACTCTCCGCGAGCTACTAGCGGGATACCACGAGTAAAGTCATAAAAAGCCCAGCCCATCAATTAGTGGTACCGCACATGCGCAGTTCGCCGAGGGTTTGCACTTCAGTGCTTTTCATTCTTATGGTGTTCATCTAACTTCATTTACCCTCCCACTCATTAATCACCCACACCCCCTCTAATTATTATCGCTACCAGATAATGATAGAGACCCAGTTGTACAAGGTGGATTGGCCATTGCAATTCGTTCTAGTACTTACAAATCTTCCTACCCTCTTCCTTTCTCCCACTCATTACACCCCACTCTAATCCCAACCAGATGATAGAGACCCAGTTGTACAAGGTGGACTGGTTTTGCAATTCGTTCTAGTACTTACAAATCTTCCTACCCTCTCCCTTTCTCCCACTCATTACACCCCCTCCCCCCTCTAATCCCAACCAGATGATAGAGACCCAGTTGTACAAGGCGGACTGGTTTTTGCAATTCGTTCTAGTACTTACAAATCTTCCTACCCTCTCCCTTTCTCCCACTCATTACACCCCCTCCCCCTCTAATCCCAACCAGATGATAGAGACCCAGTTGTACAAGGTGGACTGGTTTTTGCAATTCGTTCTAGTACTTACAAATCTTCCTACCCTCTCCCTTTCTCCCACTCATTACACCCCCTCCCCCTCTAATCCCAACCAGATGATAGAGACCCAGTTGTACAAGGCGGACTGGTTTTTGCAATTCGTTCTAGTACTTACAAATCTTCCTACCCTCTCCCTTTCTCCCACTCATTACACCCCCTCTCCCCTCTAATCCCAACCAGATGATAGAGACCCAGTTGTACAAGGTGGACTGGTTTTTACAATTCGTTCTAGTACTTACAAATCTTCCTACCCTCTCCCTTTCTCCCACTCATTACACCCCTCCCCCCTCTAATCCCAACCAGATGATAGAGACCCAGTTGTACAAGGCGGACTGGTTTTTGCAATTCGTTCTAGTACTTACAAATCTTCCTACCCTCTCCCTTTCTCCCACTCATTACACCCCCTCCCCCCTCTAATCCCAACCAGATGATAGAGACCCAGTTGTACAAGGCGGACTGGTTTTTGCAATTCGTTCTAGTACTTACAAATCTTCCTACCCTCTCCCTTTCTCCCACTCATTACACCCCTCCCCCTCTAATCCCAACCAGATAATGATAGAGACACAGTTGTACAAGGTTGACCAGCAGCTGCAGGGTTTGCTGGTTCTCTGGGAGCACCGCAGGGGCCAGCTGGATACCTCTCGCAGGGTCATTGAGTCCAAGGAGGTCGTCCCCGAAGTGACCGCATGGCTTGAGGCCAGGGGAACCGACATGCTCAAGAACAAGAATAACTTTGGACGGTCGAGGAGGAGGTGTGGTAATATGGCCGCAGTTTGGTCTCTCTCCATCCACCTCCTTTGCTTCTTTCGCCACTCTTTTCTCCTTCATCACTTTGTCTCACTCCTTTTCTTTCTGTTTTCTTCTTCCTCACCTCTTCCCTCTTCCCCTCCTCCTTCGCCCCTTCTTCCCTCCACCTTTTCTTTTCTTACTCCCTCCATTTCTCCTTCTTTCCTCCTCTCTTCCTTTCAACCCTCATTTCCTTTTCTCCCCTCTCGCAGGTTCTCCAGCTACTGACAGAACACGACGGTAGCAAAGCTTCCTAGTGTGCACGAGTGAAAATTCACCCACTGTCTTCCGTGTCACAGTCATGTAAACAACAAGGCAAGTGCATATTTTTACACCATCATCCTGGTATATAGAGAATCAGGTATATAGACCTCTAGTGTAACCACCTTGTGAAGTATAGTTGCAGCTACTTCTTTCTGGTAATGACCCTGAGACCTACTACGCCCATAGCCACATATATACTGCATGGCAACTCAGCTGGTTGCGTTTCAAATCAACGGTGAAAACTCAAACCACTGCTATGGCACGGTATATACTCTCACTCAGTATGTAGTAGCAGACAAAACATGTCCAACTACCAACTGAGTATATTCCAGCACATGTAACCGTTGAATCATGAAGGTTTGGCATGGTTGACTTTATCTCATCGTCTAAGTCACAGTCAAAGAAGTTGCTGCTTACATTAGTAGCATGGTGGTTAAATGCACCAATTATTTATGACATAGCAGTGTAATGGCGTACACAGAGAATGGAGTTGTTGTGCGCTATGCTAGTAATATATTCCCAGCTAGCCTCCTGACCTCAAAGAGGTAGTCCTGGAAGCTGAGAGAGAGGTGGAGATTCTTGTGTCTCTGTTCCATGTCGAAATAGAACCGGGTCCACTCCCACTCGAGGGAGGAGGCGATGCCCCTGGTATGATTGAGTTCTCTGTGGCCGTTGGCTTCTATCAGTCTGTAGCTGGCCAGGAGAGACTCCACCTTGGTCTTCATGTCGGCCACTTCTCTGTCGTCGTTTTCCGTGGGAGGGGTCATTCCAGGTATTATAGTCCTGATACCATTTGCAGTATACAACACATGATAATCTTTTGCAAAAGACTGGTGGTACATTTAGGCAGGTTTGAGGCCATGGTTATTTTAGACACCCATTTGCTATGTACAAGCAGCCCCAAGGGAACTCCCCCCGACCGATATTGTGCACGAGTTTCCTACTGCATTTTTGGATGAATTCTTGTTTGGGGAGATGTTTAGCTTGTTTGTTCTTGTAAATACTAGACTGGGTACTGCCTGCTCTTTCCGGTATTGTTATAACACAGTAATCATATGTAGAGCCTATAGATATTTATCCATGGCAAGTAAGTGACAAGTGGGCAGATCAAATTACAACACACGGTCATTAAGTACTTATCAACTACCGATGTTTATGTGCAAAATACTTGCAGGCAAAAAGTTTCACTTCACATTTCATTCACTGTTAGGATAAACACTTTGAGAACAGATCCGTACATCCACCAAGCAAACACAGTAACCTCTGTGTCGTGTTAAGACACTACATCCATTGACTGTAAACACCAGGTTTGTGTTATATCCTTTCAGAACGCATCCATGACCATCACTTTTACTCTTCCACCACCAACACCCACTCCAAAGCAATAGTAAGGTGGAGTAATAAAGGTGTTAAACGCCTATAGGGGTTTTACAACATAATAATTATGATATCCTTTAATTATTTTGTTGCTTGAAGTAGAATAGAAAGAGCAGGGATTAAACACAGTCCTATGTACTATATAGAGGACAGTGCACCACACACTGAGCCAAGCATCCTCTGTTTTGAGGCTAGTTTTAAGAGGTTGCTGCAGGCACCTTTGCATTACTTATGGATCATCCGAGTCCTATGCTAACATTATTGTGCATACACTGCATGTAAAACTCTATTACCTTTAACCTGTCTCCATGTTTTACTAGGGCCTAAAAAGACAAAAGTTGATTACGTTTGCTGCTGTTTCTGTTCCAAAGAAGTGTCGATACAGAAGGTTGAATTGGCAACCGGAACATAATTATGATGGGTGTAGCTACATCCTGTCTCGTACTTAAGTTGAAATGTTTATTCCATTAGTTAGTTGTTTAAGTGGTGCTTAGAAACAAAGAGCATGAATAGACTTATTTTTGGCCTTCAACTCCTGTTTCTTATCCTAGGTAGTATTAGTAGTGTCAGTGAAACGAAACTTGACCTCATAAAAGATGGAGATAAGCATGACTTGTGGAAAGATCCGCACTATAACAAACGGATTAGAGAAACATCACATGCTAACGGTTCTGTGAATGTTGAGAACGGTGATGGTGTTGTCCAGAGTGATGTCAATGGGCAAACATGCTGTGACACTAACATATGGTTCGTATGGGATAACCATTCCAAGTCATGTCGCTGTGGAGATGACATCGATGGTATGGTACAATGTGATACACTCACTAAACAGTTATCAGTCATAGACTGTCACTGTCTCACGATTCATGGCACCACAGGAGTAGAAAAACTCCCTATAGTTGGGAAGTGCATTTATAATTGTGCAAACCATACATGGTCCAAAGACATCATGTATCACGGTGCACCATCTGACTGTGCTGGTCTCAACGGACAAGGAACACTCTGTGGACAGTGTCTGGATGGCTATACTGTACCAGCATATTCCTACGAGTTTAAATGCATCAGATGTGACAGTGAAATGGAAAACTGGGGACTCTACATAGTCTTTGCCTTTCTCCCTCTCACAGTTTTCATTGTTATAATTCTGGTCTTCAGGATCAATGTACTTTCCCCAAAGCTCCACATGTTTGTGATTGCTGCTCAATACCTATCACTAAGTACGGTAGTACTTAGTATATAGGGATTGACATGGTACCTAGCATCATAGATGTATGGGGCTATAGCTAACCGTAGGTGGGGTATTATCTATGCATAAGGGAATTGTAGAGGTAACGTTCTTGTTGTGCAACAAAGAAGGCAGATTGACCATATCGATATCTTTACTATTTTAATGAACCTTTTATTCCCAGTTTGACCATTCAGGTGATCAGTGCTATGACCAGGAGAGTTTCTAAACCGTACTAGGTCCCTGATAAAAACTCCTATACGTCCGGGTATCTCACCACGCAGTTAGTCACTTCACTGAGTTTCCTACGAGGCAATGTATGTACGCATATCCTTGCTGAAGTTACGACGCCTATACGAAGCCAACAATTTGGAGAGATGCTCATCGATCAATTCGTTATATGCCATATTCTTACTCCTTCTGCCGTTCCTATTTCTAAACCTTCTGTCATGCTTATGGAAGAGACTATATACGACCAAACTATCCTCCCTTTGTAGTAGCTTAGATGCTAAAGTAATGTTATCCTGAGGGCCTAGCACAACCTCCTCAATGGTCATAATCCTCAAGTCTTCAATGGTGTGGTTGTATAAGTATAAGTTGCACAACTGCTTTAACCTACTACGATGGTTATTCAATCTACTCCGTAGTGTTTGGCTAGTTTTGCCAATGTAT